GCTAGTCGACCAATACAGTGTATGAGCTCACATGTGGAGCTGATGGGCTAAGAGCCTTGCTCAAGAGCCCACAATGGGGCAAATGAGGGTGGAGGCAGATATGGGTGCTTCACCTTTCCCAGCCTTCACCGTTATGCGCCGGTTTGGGGATTTGAACTGACAACCTTCCGATCACAGGCTTGCTTCCTCTAACCTCTGTGCCACCACTGCAAATGAATGACATGAAGATGTACATAATCAGCATTAATAACGATATGACATGAAGATGTACATAATCAGCAATAATAACGATCGACAAAGCGTCCTTTCTTCCTCTTATCAAGTGAATTTAGGTAAAGGTTTATGGATATTGGTCACCAACTATTGTTAAATGTGTTAGAGACTTGTCTTTCCGCTCAGAGAGGAGCCTGCAGGCGCACCTGATAGACTCCCAGACCTTCTCCAGGTCTGTAAGCTGTGAAGCCGAGGTCATCTTGACCTGCCTCTGTCTGATAAGGATTATAAAAACACTTCCTGCCGCACTGTCCGGCACAGATTCTCACTGACGAGGCTCTAAACGTGTAATTTTCGCACATCTGTGAAAGCTGCGTGACTCTACTCTCGCAAGTAAAAGACCAGTTAAAAATCTTCTCGTGCCCTCAGAGTGGCTTATTTGAGTAAACATGAAAAGACGTATTTATCCACTACCTCTCATTCAAAATTTAAGTCAAACCGTTGAATTTTGTGAGCCATCTTGATATGAAAGTCCTGCCTGTACACAGTCCCAGCTCGGTAATGATAACAGTGTAACATGAGCGTTTTTCAAAGCCTTGTAAAATGCATTTAAACAAAAAGACGCCTCATTGAGTAGACAAAAGCAAGGTAGCTACTTGAAAAAATGAACGGCTTAAAAAATATTGGATGTATATTTTTTTATTTTATTGAGACAAATGTCAGAAGAGCTGGGAGTTACAAAATTGCAGTGCAACAAGCCCAGTAGGGGGCGCTTGTCCATGGTGACCTCAGCTTCCTGCTTCTGCTCCTCTCTCTAGTTATAGTACATACTGATGTACAATCAATGATTACTGAATGGTTCTGGAGATATTTTGCTAACAGACAGGGTTGACTTTAATGCCAAAGTTTTGAGCAGTTTTGCACAATGTGTAGTGCTTAGAATTTGTTCAGGATGACACTCGTGTACTGTCAGACCAAGTTTGAGCTAAATATTGGTAAAACTGAGCGAGTTACATTTTTGTGTTACTTGATGTTAATTAGCTGTGGCGGCCATCTTGAATAGGACTGACTCCAGCAGTTAATCAGTCGTAGATGTACATCCAATACTTACTGAGAGTTTATTAAAATTTGTCCTCTGGTTCATAAGACACTTTGCCCAAGTCAAGGACAAATGAACACACGGGCAGAAACGTCATCGCCTCTTTGCCTTTGGCGGCAGGTGATTTAAAAACCGGAACGCTCTTCAGTAATGCAGCTCGAACACCTCTCTCCCCGGTGACCGTTAGGTTAAGTTTAGCAGGACGTTTATGAAATGCATCGAAAGACTTGAGTTCACGAGCTATAAAAACACCAGAACTCATCGACGAAGCCAGAGATGATGAATGCGCTGCAAAAGTCATCCAGAACACAGTTTGCCACCCTGCGAGAGCTGCAGGTGAAGTTGCTATCAAACAGCAGGCACGTGCGTGAACATGACTGTCTCATCCCAGCCAGGGGGATTTTAATTTACTCCGTGCGCAGCTTTTGAAGCATCAGTTTTCACCGGCTTTAAAACCCCCTGGATGAAGCAGCTTTGAGCTGAATATCACTTGGAGTGCGTGTGCCAAGAATATAGGTTACTCTATATTCAGTCAGTATTTCTGGATGCCTTCTCACCTTACTGGGGTGCAGGGTTTTCCTTAAAGTAGCTGCTCAAAATAAATAAAAAAGAAACATTACACAACCCAGTGTAATTACCATGTCACAGTGGGCGTAAATCCTGTCATCGTTTTTGCACAGATGCACACAAATGAAGAGAAATGGAGACGAGTGACGCTATAAATCATGTCTCAGTGGAAAGCCGTAGTGCGTTTAGTTTTTTTTACCTGTTTATGATAGATGCAGCGAGAGAGCTAAAGGAGTTAAAGCTAGTGCGGTTTTGCTCAAGCAGCGTTACAATCCATTGTGCTTGCAGCAAAAAGGACAATGAAAGATATTTGTATTTTTAGCACTAGAGTCAGCATCTTTAAAGCTGAAGCAGCACCCACAGACCTGTCTCCACCTCTTTGCTGCCCTGTACTTTACACCCCTCCTTTTTTTTTAAATTAAAATTCTCCTAAACAACCAACAACTCGCATCAACGCAGTAATTCTGACAGATGCATTTTGCTTTTGCCCTAAAATAATCCCCCCCCCCGTCCACACTCTTTGAGTTTGGGGTCATGAGTGTGCTTCCTTCAGGGCCGGCTGTAACAACAGAAGCAGAACTAATGTCAGGCGGCGTTTGGGGGCTCACATGTGTGGATTGGACCTGGGCCCAACTGTACCCTGCTTTAACACTGCACTGCCCCACCCTCTCTTCCCACCCACTCCCCAGTCGTTTCTGTGGTGAACCGCACAGGAAGCTGCAGGCTGTGATCTATTGGCAGTCCAAAGCTGGCTGAGTTCGCAGCAGAGATCAGCCTGTTCAGTAAAACTCGAGCGAAGCTTGATCCTTCTTAATCATCAGTTTTTTCTTTCATTTTAGAAGTTTTGTTTTAAATGCAAGATTAGCCACCGATATCGTTTTGAGCAGATCTTGCAGTTTTGGGTGCTGCTGAGGCAAACTCTCAT